TTCATGGTGTGATATGCTGTCTGTTTTATTTTGCTTTTAAATTACCCCGTGTGCAAGGAAAGGCCGGGTTACATTCACTGGCGGCGAGGGATTTGAGTCAGCGAGATTGGTAGACGAGATCGCTACCGCTACACCACACAGCGCGCGAACAAGTCCAAGGCAAGTCCTTGAACGAGTCTAAGAGAAGTCCAGGAGCAAGTCCAAGAGCAAGTCCAAGAGCAAGTTCAAGAGCAAGTTCAAGGACAAGGCCAAGAGCAAGCCCACGAGAACGTCTAAGGCAAGTCCTAGAACGAATCTAAGAATAAGTCTAAGGGCAAGTTCGTGAGCAAGCCCAAGAGAACAAGTCCAAAAGTAAGTTCAGTGAAAAGCCTAAAAGCAAGCCCAAGGCAAGTTCAAGAACAAATCTAAGAGCAAATCAAAGACCGAGTCTTGAGGAACTTCAAGGGCGATTCCAAGAGCGATTCCAAGAGCAAATCCAAAGGCAGTTCCAAAAGCAAGTCCACGAGCAAGCTGCGTCCCCCGAGCGGCCGGGCGCGTGACCCGCGGCGCAGCGTACATGGGCGGAGCCAAGAGGCAAACGACGCAGGTGATTGGTCCGAGCGACACCTCCGCCGCCATTGGCTCCGCGATGGAACTTTCAACGAACTGACTCGGATCTCCGGTGCTTTGCCACGAATTATGGAATTATGGACAGCGCTCGGTGAATCCTGGCATATATATATATTCTGAACTTTTACACTGATTCACATATTTAGCGAGGGGAAGAAAGAGAGTGACAAATAGACTAGGTCGGACAGACAGAGACTGAGACCGATTGCGGAAGTCAAAAAGGCAAGACACAGGTGGGGAAAAAGAAAAAATGTAATTGATGAAATATACAAGGGATACAGACAGAGTATGCAACAGACACAAAAACACAGAATGAGAGCGCTAAGACAAAGAGAGAATACACAAGACAAAGACACAGACAGACACCCACATACTGACATGGAAAAAATGTTTTTAATAGAAAATAGCCAAAAAAAAATCCACGAAAAAGAAAACAAGGAACCAAGACCCACAAACAAAGAATAAAAAAATAAAAAACACACAGACAAAACCTGCAACAGACAGACAGCTTCCCAGACAAGACGACTATCGGGAGAGCGACGGAGGCCCCGCAGCTGCCACCCGTCCATCGATCACGGGCGTTGTATACCCGACGCCTGGAACATTTTTATTCGTCACGTCACTCGTCAAAGTCACAGAAAATAAATTCAGGGTTACCAGGTAGGAGGAAGAGCGGGGGGAACGGACATGGAATGGAGAGAAAAGAGGATAACGATTGTAAAATAATTTGATGGTGATTACTATAATTATGTTTAATACTATTATTATGTTATTATTGTTATTATTATTATCAATATTTTTATCCTTACCATTATTGTTATCATCGTTATTATTATTATCATTGTCATTTTTATCATCATTATCATTACGCTTATCATTGTCATTATTACTTTTTATCTCTATTTTCTTTTAATTACCATTACTACCATTATCATTATTGATATTATCATCATTATCATTATTACTATTATCATTATTATTATCATTATTATTGTTGTTGTTATTATTTGTGTTATTAACATTATTACTACGACTATTATTATCATTATTATTACTATTATCACTATTGTCATTATCATTATTGTTATTATTATTATTATTATTATTATTATTATTATTATTATCATTATCATTATTATTATTATTATTATTATTATTATTATTATTATTATTACTATTATTATTACTAGTAGTAGTACTAGTAGTAGTATTACTATTGTCATTGTCTTCATTACTGTTGTTGTTATTATCATTATCATCATCATTTATTGTTAATATTATTATTGTTATTGTGATCAACATTATGATAATTATTTTTGTTATTATTGTTATTATCATTATTACTATTATTATCCTCATTATCATTACTATCATTAACATTATTATCATTATGATTACTATCATTATTATTATTACTGTTATCATTATCATCATTATTATCATCACTGTTATCATCATTATTATAATCATCACAATCATTCCGTAAGTCAATCGAGAGCTTGTTCGTAAAATTCTACCTACGGCCGGTTTGTTGCAATTGTGCAAGGCCCGATCCAATGAATATTCACACATACATACACATAAATAAATACATATCGGTCTATCTATCTGATAGATATACATGTAGACTGGTAGATATGCATTGATTTCTGTGTATACGTACATTTTTAACAAACCGGCCGATAGTGTTAATCGAAGCTTCAAGACGACGCTGAGGATCCGGGACTTAGGGTTCACAGGGTACTCGGTAGCTTCCCGGAATGTCACATTGTCTCGCGAGCTTAAATATTCTTCCCTGATTCCTTTCTCTTCCATTGATTAATATTTAAAAAGAAAGGAGAAAGAAGTAGAGAAAAGGGAGAGAAAGTGTGAAAAAAGACTTAGTTCCCAG